GGAGTGTCTTCTTTGGCGTCGCTTTTGCCCACCCTGTCAGCTTGTTATTTATCGTTTGTATGCTGCCATGAAAGGCACCAGGAAAACTGAGAATTGTATCATACTTACCAGTAATTTTCCTTTCCTGGTGCCTGTCCATGGCAGCATACTACCCACCCTGTTTGTCGACGCATAGTTACAAGAATGCAGGGGGAGTCTCTCTCTCTCTTTTTTATAGATTGTTACTGGTCCTGTGGGTGGGGATAAGGAGCGGAGCTTATCGTTTGTATGCTGCCATGGACAGGCACCAGGAAAGGAAAATTACTGGTAAGTATGATACAATTTTCCGTTATCTGCAGTGTGAGATATAAGGTGCTGCTCACTATTGTTCTTGCTAGAGAATCTGACATAAGGAGGCAAAACAAGCCTTGGCAGGTCAGTAATGGGGAAATACTAACTGGGAGACCAACAGGGAAGCAACACTGTTGACAAGTCATTTGCCCCCTATCATTCTTTTTTTGGGATACAGATTCCACAGCTCCGTGCCTCTTTAAACATAACATAAGAAGTCTCTGCAGTACTGAATGTACTAGTAGTGTTGCCTCCCACTGGTATACAGATACCTATACATACTTCAATGATTACTAGATCAACTAGATCCACTAGTACAGTCAGGACAACCGGTACTGCTCTACCCATTCTGTCTGATACTCAAAGCATTTACTGAGGGAAGGGAGTATGTGTTTGGAATAGGGACTGAGCCCCTCTACTTTCCATCTTGATCACATGCCCATAATGAAAACATGTCCACTACACTGGCATTATCCCTATTCAAAGTAGTATCTCTTATTACTTAGCTGATTGGCAGAGGTCTGGGGAAGATTAGATCCCACAATTCCCAAGATCTATAAGGTTCAGTTGGATTACATATCACAATTCCTTTAGGGTCCGTTCACAAATGCCTGCGTGCTTCATTTTAGCATGCGGGCTAGTGTGTATTTTGTGCCAATGGTAGAGGGTGGCGCCTTGTGTTGTAACAAAGCCATGCACTGTTCACCTTTTGTTCAACTTTGACATTTCAATAAAGTAACATTTTATTCACATCTATCTAGCACAGCAGAGCTGTGGTGCAGTGCCATCAGGGGAGCTCTGGTGCGAAAAATTAGGCATTACATCTCACCTGAAGGCAATGTTGCAGTGTGAACAAGGCACATAAAAAACAATGGTTTTCTATGTGCCTTTGTGGTGACTGGTGTTGATCTACTGTGGACAATGCCATTCACTGCACATAGTGTGAACACAGCCTTAAAGAACCTTAGGCAAAATAAAAAAAAATCCTACCCTAGCAGTGCCTTATGTGCTCGTTTTGGTATAGGGGCTGGAATAAAGCAGATCTACTTACCTGATACTGGCTTCCTCCAAGCTACTAGACAGGTCCCTGCAGCCTCTTCTTCCCTGGGCTAAGGTGGTGTAAGGATCTCTGGTGTTATCATATCTAATGCAAGTCCATTGACTTGCATTAGACGTGAGCACACCAGGGGACATTGCATAGCTGAAGTGTAGAGAGGTGATTGCTGACAGCCACGGGACCGAGGGTCAGCTAAGTAAAACTGCTTTACTTGAGCCCCGTAGACAAAGTGAGAAGGTAACCCTTGCAGTGCAAAGGTACATTTTTCATTTTCCCAGAGCTCTCCTTTATTGTGTTCAACATGCCAATGAATAGGTATCTTCCTTCAGTCATTTGCATGTTAAGTGCACACACTGTTTTTAAGACTAATTCGACTCCCAAGGGACATGCGTTCAGCATTGTCATTGCTGCAATGTGGCCACAAATAATAGTTAAGAACATTGAACCCGTTCTTTAGTATATGAGTTCTCTGACCTCCACTTATTTCCCGACTGCTTCTTAGCAATCGCTTAACAATGTGCTTAGTGAAAATCACCTTCAGCTACTGCTAATGACTGCGGCAAGGCTCTGTTCTAATAAAGTAAAACAAGCATCCAGCGGCGGTCAATGCGGTGCTAATAAGACTGTCAGCCGATCTGCGTGATCGATCTCCATGTGAGACACTGCCCTCTAGCAGTGAAGTAATGCATTCAAAATGCCTCTAATGAGCAGGAAAGCTTTGCCTTCCACCATGCAGTGACAAGTGGCGGCCCCATCTATCAGGAAGAAAGACTGAAGTCTGCCTCCACTCCTCTAGGCAATTGCTTACAGCTTACTAATCACTGATGGGTCACTCTACCATCCAATGTGTTCTGTTGTTTCGGCTTTCATTATTTAATGTGGCCAGTACATCTAAATTCCATGGGTTTAAATTTTAACATTAGAAAAAAATTAACATTTTCTGAGTCATCACATAAATAATCGTAATGCTTTCATCTAAGAGTGCTTATCATTCATTCATATTTTTTCTCGTGAAAGTTCTAAAAGTGTGCAACATGCTTAGTTCTGGCCAAAAAACAGCAACATGATGGATCAAAACTGGAACAGTGAAGTATGAAGGTGTCCCAAATTGCAATACATTAAAACAGAACTTCGGCCAAAAATAGGATAGAAATAAACAACTGCTGAAAATATAAAATAACATAAACAGTTTTTGCTGCAATATTCAGCTTCGATCTAGAGCTGCTCCCCCCAATTCTTTATTCATGCAGCTAGATGTCTTCAGTCTGATGGTCATGATCATTCAACTCCCATCCTCTGAGCCCAGCTCATTCTGGACCCGCCCTAGCCCGTGACTGGACATCGAAAGGAAAAGTAATAAAGTGGTTGGATTTGACTCCAGCCCCGCTATACACGGACTACAAGAGGCTGATACATTCAGGCCATATTCAGGTACTTACACTGATTGAATTTAAAATAAACGTAATGATGTGTTAATGATTACAGAAATGTGTGTGATTCATATAAACGTAGGGGGGAATTTATAAAAACTGGAGCAGACAAAATCTGGAGCAGATTTCCACTGCAACCAATCAGCTTCTCTGTCTCATTTTCAAATCTTACCTGAGCAAACTGAAGAGAGAAGCTGATTCATTGCCAGGGGCAACTGCTCCAGATCTGTCTGCTCCGGTTTTGATAAATTTCCCCCTTAGAGTTCAGGTTAAAGCTACCTACAGACAAATATTGAAAAGTCATGCAAATACTTGTCTTGAATTGTATTGTGATTGTAATGTCTTCCTTATATTGTAAAGCGCTGCACAACCGGTTGGCACTATATAAATCCTGAAGAATAATAATACTAATTTTCTAACTTTTCTTGTGCTCTCCCTGAAGAATAATATGAATAAAGAAAGAAATACACAGAAAAATGAAAATCTAAAATAACAAATAATAAATAAAAAAAAAATTGAAAGCATAAAAAAGACCTCACTCATTTTTATGACATATGTTATATGTATGGCCAGCATAAGACATGATCCTTCATCAGATAGTGATGCACTGCTTTCTAGTAACACACTGATTGTCAGGCACAATCCCAAGACTAGTAATACAAATCACAACCCTGAGTGTACAATCACCTTTAGATTTAGCAGTGACCATAAAGTGTGAGCGTCTACCTAATTAATACATTCAATTTAAAGCCATTTAGGTACGCCCTCACACTACAGAGTTGTTAAATCTGCAGGACATTGGGCAGGCAGGTTGTATATTTACTTCTGGAAATGCCATTGGTTTTCAGTATTGAGAAGCTATGCCATAAAAACAGTATGTTAAATGTGGTCCTGAAGTGAAATATCCCTAAAACAGCTTTAAAGTTTGCTTGTACAGTATTTCATTTTAAAGCATTAAAAGGAGACACCACAATGTCTGCTATTACCGTTATTAGCCAAAAAAGCCTCATCTGTGCCCCTCACTGATTTATCTTTATTGTTTTACTGTGGCCTGACTGTCCAATGCTTTAGCTCACCGACTTCCGATGTTAGTGGCTTAGTGGCCACTAGTGCATTCTTATTAGACAGTGGAATGGCTGATTCAAGTGTTTACCCATGAAGGAAAGTCTCAGCTTTATACCATTCTTCTGACTCATACATTCTCTAACTGTTCCTTCTATAGTAGGAAGTGGGAAAGAGAGTGGGATGTGGCTTGGAACAAATCTTTAATTTTGACTTTTAAATCTAGCCTATTGAGCCAAAAGCAGGAAAGGAATTTTAAGATTCTAACCAGGTGGTACAGAAGCTCCCCGCTGTCCTACATAGAGTGCTTTCATCTTTGTCTGATTGCTGCTGAAGACATGGGACTAGAGAGGGCACCATGCTATGTATCTGATGGTCCTGCCAACAAATCCACCCTTATTGGCAGTCCATTTTCAGATTATGGTTTCAAATTACAGGGACAAGCTGACACATGACTCTGGAGGGATTCTTTAAGGCGATTAAAAAAGGCTTTTTTCTTTCCGCAGGTAGGGCCTTAATTCCTAGACATTGGAAGCCAACTTCAGTCTTGCAGAACCAAGAGTGGATATGTGAACTCAACCACATAAGGTGGATGGAGGAACTGACATCCCACCTTTACAAATGCTACTCAGATTTTATGGCAACATGGAGCGCTTGAATACATTTTAATTTTCCTCCAAAACTACAATAATTGTTTTGCCTTGTGAATTGTTGCGGTAACAGTGGTATTCAATTATTTAATTGGTGCCGGCTGGGTCCACCAGTCTTTCTCCTCTTCCCTATTTTTGTCTCTGCAGTGCAGAGGTGACCAATTTTTCAACTAGATTATGCTCTACCCACATCCTTGACTAATACTTTGCTATTTGTCCACTTGACCTAAGAATGTTCTTACCATCGTGTCCTGTATTAAATGCTTTGTGTGTTATTATATTCTGTAAAAACCCCTGTGTAGGGGAAGGGCCCACCCTTGCCTTGATTTGTTTTTCTGTCATTTCTGTAAATTAATTCACTTTATTCTTTAAAAAATGTAGAAGTAGTACATGGAGTACAGGTACACTCAATATGTTAATAAACGGTTGAGGCAGGCCCCTACTAATTATAACAGCGGAGTCATACTTTACCTTCATATTCAGGTGGACATAAACACTGGTATTCGTTAACCAGATCTTTACAAGTTGCTCCATTCTGACATGGGGCTGACAAACACTCATTGTATTCCTCCTCACAGTATGGTCCATGGTATCCTGTGGTAAAGATTAAAATGCAAATTAAAATTCTGCAATTTTATTGGACATTTATATATTTTTATACTGGAACAAAGCATAACACTCAATAAGCATTTATCTAAAAAAGGTCAGCAATACTATCATTAATTAGTGCAAAAGATATACAGTATATGCTTACTGTAAACTGTGGAGACAAAAAGACACAATTTGCTGATAGAACAAAAATGTAAAGGGACCTGTCAAAATTTAAAATGTGGTAGCTGCCATTGCTGAGACAATCACAGGGTCAGAGGTCCCCTGAAGGCTGACAGCTGATGGTCTGTACACTTTCTGATCTGAAGTTCCCCATTCTCTCCACATAGTTCGGGATTTATCAGATCTCATTATCATCACACTCTTCTTTAGGAGGTTGCATGGAAGGGTTTTACAAGCACATTTCCAACAAAATCAACTTCTGCTGACTCTGCCTGTCTGGATAATCCACTGTATGGTGAAATTATATTGCTGTAATCACATTGCTGATGATTTAATCTCCATGGAGTAGCTTGTCATTCTCCCCAGCAACACGATTTAACCAGCTGAGTGGATTGTGGTCAGTGATCACTGTGAAGCCACAGCCATGCAGGTAGTGTTGCAGCTTCTGCAGCCACCACACAACTGTAAGACACTCCTTCTTGATGGTAGCATATGCTACCTCCCTGGGAATAGCTTCCTGCTCAGGTAAACGATGGGATCTTTCTCTCCTGACTGACCCATTTGGCCCAGGTCCATATCTAAGCTATAGGCAGAAGCATTAGTTTGCAACAGAAACTGATGGATAAAATTCAGCGGGGCTTGTAGTACAGGAGCATTGGCCAGTGTCTTCTCATCCTCTGGCATCCAGGACACCAGCATAATCAGTTTCCTCTTGGTCACGTCAAGGATTTGGTTAAAGCACTATAGTTGCACACAAATATCCTATAGTAGCCAGATGTCCCTAAGAATGACATTACATGCTTTTTGGCTTGAGGGGTAGGCCAGGCCATCATGGCCTTTCACTTCCCTGTCTTAGGTCTTAGGGTGCCTCATCCTACCTGGTTCCCAAGTCCTGGGCTTTTGTCATGCCTGTCTAACACAAGATTGTCAAAATAGTCACTGCCAGTTTGTCCAGAACTTGTGGTAGGGCTGTCATGTAGGGCTGAACACTGCAATTTCATCCAGGTAGGCAACTGGAAATGCTCCCAGCCCTTCATGCACACACCCTGACTACCAACTATCCTTGGCACATCTATATTTCCATCTGACAAGGTTTTACAATTAGACAACCAGCATATTATTTAGCAGAATTAAATTACAAGTTGTTAGATACCAAATATGATAGATATTGTATATGCAGTGTATACTGTAATTGCACCAGCTACTTGGGGTAACAAGGGGATACAAGGTAAAAGTGCATCACCCCATTCTTCAATAGTTTTGAAATGGCTCTCTAAGCCCAGGGCAGGATATTCATTACTAGAGCCTGAAGGAGCGATCTATTGGAACTCTACATAACACTCCTCTGTTAGATCGCTGCTTTTATACAGAACATTTCTTTGTTTCATGGTCCTAACCTGGCTTGGAATACTGTGATAATGTGTCAGTAAGCTTATGCAATGACTTTTCCTCCTTATGATGTAAAAAAATGTATGCGCAATAACTTTATAGGGAAAAAGCCAAAAGTTTGCCTCCACTGCTTTCGGCATGTGCCTACTGTAGATAATGGTAAATCTGGCCCTGCACAAGCCAATTTCATTTTTAAAGCATTGCCTGATTAATGTTTATATATATATATATCAGTAATGGTTTAATGTACAAAAAATCATGCGTAAGGTTCAGAAACTGTAAGTGCACTGCATGTTCCTAGGAAACCTGTACTGTCAGCTGCCATTGCTGAACTCTCCTTTTAAAAATACTCATTACCTGGCTGTTATGCCAATCCAAAAGCTCCAGTATTTTGTGTCTCACTGGGCTAGAATAGGTATGCAGATCAAACATTCTGACGTTCCTACTTTCCTCTGACTTCACTTGCTGCATACTTATTCCAGGTCGGTACTGCAATCAGAGAGAGCCAGACACCTATCCGAAAGAAGTCAGCGATGGCTTCCTCCTTAGTTCCTTCAATACAGGTTTCCTTTCTGTTGGCGACACCTATATTTTTTGCTTTTGTAATTGTATGAGAACAGTATATAATATGAAAGTATCTCCTGTGACCACTAGGTGGTAGAAGCCCTATAAATTATCTTGCTTTCATACTGCATCTCTACAGGAGACAGAACTGTAAGCAGCATCTCTGAAAGCACAAAGGACAGACTTGGTATTGTATCTCTTTTTGTCTGAAAAATGGCAGCTTTCACAAAGCAGAAGAGTCGCACTTTTGTGTCTGATAAAGTAACCGCACAGCTATGTGGCTATTAAATGTTTATATTGGGGTTTTGCGTCTTACAAGGTTGAGCCCCCAAAATGCAGCCAAGCCTTTCAACTAATCCATCCTGCTTAACATTCTTCTCATGAGCAAATCTGCAAACCGGCACAAAGACTGTGACCCAGCGTGGGTGCTAACCGAGCAACCTTTCATACCAATGTACTGTATGAGGGAGCCTCCAAACACAATGACTAGCAACAAAAGGGGTTAAATGACAACCAGACTGTACAAAAATGCTGAATACTGGCAAGGACAATCCACTCATGATGGAGACGTTTCTGAAAGGTTACACTGCAAAGTGGAGGTACAATGTCACATCTAAGCAGGGTCTCAGAGCTACAATTACGTGATTGCATTTGACATCATCATCTTGGACTGCACAGCTCCTTCTCAATTATTGCTCTTGTAATATCAGCAAAGTGACCTGTATGTCTACTCAAACTGACAAAAGACTATCATGTTTGTCATTCTATATATTAGATGTGATTATTATTCAGATAACATTATTTGCATACTGGGAGCTGCTGACTCAGTGGTTAAGCAAGGCTACTCATAGTGAAAAAACAGATCATAAGTTCTGGTTTTGTATCTAACCACTTAGCACTATTTAGACTGTGAAGAGCTCCACTGATCACAATTTTATTTGGCTTCCTCGCTACATTCCAAACCGGTTCTACTAAGTATATAGTTGAGTTAGTGTCTATGTTGGCTTTTACTACATAATTACTGCACTAAAGCAAAAAAATCTATAAAGCAACCATGGTCCCCAATGTGAACTTTATTGAGTTCTCAATATATTTGTCTTAACCACAGGGTCTTATACTACTCAACCCCAATCTCCAGAACCAAGACAGTGATGTTCCACATGGGAATTTGAGTTTCACCTAGATAGAGAGGGTTGGAAGTAGATATGAAACAATGCCTCTCGGGGCTCTATAAATGTAAATGCAATGAACCCAATTAAAAAATGTTGCCTTCCTGGTACTTGGTCTTAGTTTGTGCTGCAAAATGTGTCTCTCATAAAAGGCTTGACAGAAAAGGTACATTTAGAGGGTTATTCACTAAAGAGCCAAAGGATCAAGCTTTGGCTGCCGGACCCCTTCAGGTTCAGTTGAACCGAAGGGCTGCTGTACGGGGCTATTCACAATAGCCCCTAAGGCAGCCAATGTATGGCTGATTTTAGCCGATGTATGGCTGAAATCTGCCGTACAGGGCCAAAGTGACTAGCCGAATGGCGTTAAGCTCAGTTCACTACTGCTGGGTTATTCACTGAGCTGCTTAGTGGATAACCACCTTAGACATATTTGGTGGCACTGCCCTAAGTCAGAAATTTTGGACAGTAGTTTACCAACTAGTACTAGAAAAGACAACTAGAAATCGACCTTGCCGAACAACCAGAGTGTTGAATCATTCAAAAAGCTTTTGGACGATTTCCTTAGAGACCATAACATACCGGGGTACAGGTACACTTAAGAACAAGATCAAACATGGACTCATACACACGCAAACACATGCACAATCACATACATACACGCAATAGGTTGGACTTGATGGACCTGTGCCTTTATTCAGCCTCAAATACTATGTAGCCAAATAGTTGCACTAAAATGCAGGTAAGGTTACTAAACCAAAACTTAACAGCCATTAAACAAACAGTGGTCGAAGCATAGAACATTCTATCCTTGAGCATTTGGGAAGTAGCATAGCTATTCTCTATGACACAATCCAAAGACGTAAATAGGTTTGGGAACACTGAGTTGAATATTATCTCTGTTTTGACACATTCCTCTACATGACCTGATATACATATGAAGCACATACATTTGTCACCTTGTGGGACAGGAAGTGGTCCCATGTTTTATCCTTTCTTCTCTGCTTCCTTCTTTCCCCTTTTCCTTTCCTCTTACATTTTCTTACACCCCCAATTCACTTCTAACTTCTTCATCCACTTTCTTCTAATTCCTAATCTATAAACCAGCTGCACTGAAGTAGCTTGGGATATAATGAATGCACAGCTTTAGAAAGTGTTAAGTAGGCTCTACACAGTGCAAATTTCAGCCAGTTCTTGATGAACCGGCTGAAAGTAACAAAGTGGGTGCCCTGTCGGCACCCTTCTGCCCGGTTTCCCTAGATCAGTTGATTGAAGTAGCGTGTTGATAAATTTTCGGCCGAACGTATCTTGCAGCCAACCAGCTGCAAACTCTGTTTGAGTATTCACTACAATAGAAACAGCAGGAGATTCCTCCATCCATGCTCATAAGATGTTATATTTTCTTCGTTCAGAAGAAATTAATTGCTCCGCTCCAGCAATGGAATGTCCCTTGTGTCCTATACACTGAATTAGATGTAATGACTCACAGAACCTTCGATCGTTGGAGTGGAGGGAGAGAGGCTCCAGGGTCTGGTCTAACAGCCAGCTGTCTTAGAGGTTTGGGTAAGTATAACTTTGGGGTTTTTTTTCGCTCCTAGACGAAAACGAGCACTTAGCCCTTGCAGTGTGGTGTAGCCCCAGTGCAAGGGTTAAGATAAATTTACCCGTTCTTTGATTCTTTAATTGTCCATAATGTAACAGGAA